CTGATGTGAACGATTTATAGCGAGAGTACAAAATTTCTCCCCGGCCGGGAATTGAACCCGGGTCTCGCATGTGACAGACGCGGATACTCACCACTATACTACCGAGGACTGTCTGTGAAGAACTTGATAGTGCCACATGGCGAGGTGTACTGATGTGAACGATTTATAGCGAGAGTACAAAATTTCTCCCCGGCCGGGAATTGAACCCGGGTCTCGCATGTGACAGACGCGGATACTCACCACTATACTACCGAGGACTGTCTGTGAAGAACTTGATAGTGCCACATGGCGAGGTGTACTGATGTGAACGATTTATAGCGAGAGTACAAAATTTCTCCCCGGCCGGGAATTGAACCCGGGTCTCGCATGTGACAGACGCGGATACTCACCACTATACTACCGAGGACTGCCTGTGAAGAACTTGATAGTGCCACATGCAGGATGTACTGATGTGAACGAATTGATAGGCGAGAAAGATTTTTACAAAATTCTCCCCGGTCGGGGAATTGACCCGGGTCTCGCATGTGACAGACGCGGATACTCACCACTATACTACCGAGGACTGTCTGTGAAGAACTTGATAGTGCCACATGGCGAGGTGTACTGATGTGAACGATTTATAGCGAGAGTACAAAATTTCTCCCCGGCCGGGAATTGAACCCGGGTCTCGCATGTGACAGACGCGGATACTCACCACTATACTACCGAGGACTGCCTGTGAAGAACTTGATAGTGCCACATGGCGAGGTGTACTGATGTGAACGATTTATAGCGAGAGTACAAAATTTCTCCCCGGCCGGGAATTGAACCCGGGTCTGACGCGGATACTCACCACTATACTACCGAGGACTGTCTGTGAAGAACTTGATAGTGCCACATGGCGAGGTGTACTGATGTGAACGATTTATAGCGAGAGTACAAAATTTCTCCCCGGCCGGGAATTGAACCCGGGTCTCGCATGTGACAGACGCGATACTCACCACTATACTACCGAGGACTGCCTGTGAAGAACTTGATAGTGCCACATGGCGAGGTGTACTGATGTGAACGATTTATAGCGAGAGTACAAAATTTCTCCCCGGCCGGGAATTGAACCCGGGTCTCGCATGTGACAGACGCGGATACTCACCACTATACTACCGAGGACTGTCTGTGAAGAACTTGATAGTGCCACATGGCGAGGTGTACTGATGTGAACGATTTATAGCGAGAGTACAAAATTTCTCCCCGGCCGGGAATTGAACCCGGGTCTGACGCGGATACTCACCACTATACTACCGAGGACTGTCTGTGAAGAACTTGATAGTGCCACATGGCGAGGTGTACTGATGTGAACGATTTATAGCGAGAGTACAAAATTTCTCCCCGGCCGGGAATTGAACCCGGGTCTCGCATGTGACAGACGCGGATACTCACCACTATACTACCGAGGACTGCCTGTGAAGAACTTGATAGTGCCACATGGCGAGGTGTACTGATGTGAACGATTTATAGCGAAAGTTGAAAATTTCTCCCCGGCCGGGAATTGAACCCGGGTCTCGCATGTGACAGACGCGGATACTCACCACTATACTACCGAGGACTGCCTGTGAAGAACTTGATAGTGCCACATGGCGAGGTGTACTGATGTGAACGATTTATAGCGAGAGTACAAAATTTCTCCCCGGCCGGGAATTGAACCCGGGATCTGACGCGGATACTCACCACTATACTACCGAGGACTGTCTGTGAAGAACTTGATAGTGCCACATGGCGAGGTGTACTGATGTGAACGATTTATAGCGAGAGTACAAAATTTCTCCCCGGCCGGGAATTGAACCCGGGTCTCGCATGTGACAGACGCGGATACTCACCACTATACTACCGAGGACTGCCTGTGAAGAACTTGATAGTGCCACATGGCGAGGTGTACTGATGTGAACGATTTATAGCGAGAGTACAAAATTTCTCCCCGGCCGGGAATTGAACCCGGGTCTCGCATGTGACAGACGCGGATACTCACCACTATACTACCGAGGACTGTCTGTGAAGAACTTGATAGTGCCACATGGCGAGGTGTACTGATGTGAACGATTTATAGCGAGAGTACAAAATTTCTCCCCGGCCGGGAATTGAACCCGGGTCTGACGCGGATACTCACCACTATACTACCGAGGACTGTCTGTGAAGAACTTGATAGTGCCACATGGCGAGGTGTACTGATGTGAACGATTTATAGCGAGAGTACAAAATTTCTCCCCGGCCGGGAATTGAACCCGGGTCTGACGCGGATACTCACCACTATACTACCGAGGACTGTCTGTGAAGAACTTGATAGTGCCACATGGCGAGGTGTACTGATGTGAACGATTTATAGCGAAAGTTGAAAATTTCTCCCCGGCCGGGAATTGAACCCGGGTCTGACGCGGATACTCACCACTATACTACCGAGGACTGCCTGTGAAGAACTTGATAGTGCCACATGGCGAGGTGTACTGATGTGAACGATTTATAGCGAGAGTACAAAATTTCTCCCCGGCCGGGAATTGAACCCGGGTCTGACGCGGATACTCACCACTATACTACCGAGGACTGCCTGTGAAGAACTTGATAGTGCCACATGGCGAGGTGTACTGATGTGAACGATTTATAGCGAGAGTACAAAATTTCTCCCCGGCCGGGAATTGAACCCGGGTCTGACGCGGATACTCACCACTATACTACCGAGGACTGTCTGTGAAGAACTTGATAGTGCCACATGGCGAGGTGTACTGATGTGAACGATTTATAGCGAGAGTACAAAATTTCTCCCCGGGCGGGAATTGAACCCGGGTCTCGCATGTGACAGACGCGGATACTCACCACTATACTACCGAGGACTGCCTGTGAAGAACTTGATAGTGCCACATGGCGAGGTGTACTGATGTGAACGATTTATAGCGAGAGTACAAAATTTCTCCCCGGCCGGGAATTGAACCCGGGTCTCGCATGTGACAGACGCGGATACTCACCACTATACTACCGAGGACTGTCTGTGAAGAACTTGATAGTGCCACATGGCGAGGTGTACTGATGTGAACGATTTATAGCGAGAGTTTAAAAAAATTCTCCCCCGCCGGGAATTGAACCCGGGTCTGACGCGGATACTCACCACTATACTACCGAGGACTGTCTGTGAAGAACTTGATAGTGCCACATGGCGAGGTGTACTGATGTGAACGATTTATAGCGAGAGTACAAAATTTCTCCCCGGCCGGGAATTGAACCCGGGTCTGACGCGGATACTCACCACTATACTACCGAGGACTGTCTGTGAAGAACTTGATAGTGCCACATGGCGAGGTGTACTGATGTGAACGATTTATAGCGAAAGTTGAAAATTTCTCCCCGGCCGGGAATTGAACCCGGGTCTGACGCGATATAACTATACTACGAGGAATGCCTGTTGAAGAACTGATCAGTAGCACACGGCAGGGTGTACTGATATTGAACGATTTATAGCGAGAGTACAAAATTTCTCCCCGGGCCGGGAATTGAACCCGGGTCTGACGCGGATACTCACCACTATACTACCGAGGACTGCCTGTGAAGAACTTGATAGTGCCACATGGCGAGGTACTGATGTGAACGATTTCTATCAGCCGAAGAGGACAACAATTTCTTCCCGGGGCGCGGGATATTGAAACCCGGTCTGTCTTGCGCGATACTCTCCCCCACCCCCAACTATACTACGACGGACTGCTCCCTGTGAAGAAGTCTTGATAGTGACACACCATTGAAGGGACTGGCATCGTGGTGAAGAATGCTTACTGGAATTTTAGTGCCACTGGTGACAGCGGATTATAGTGAGCGGAATAGTCTGATGAAATATTTCTCCTCGACGGACCGCGAGTGTTAAATAGTCGAACGCCGGAATGTGACTGCGGGAAAAATACACTCTATTCACTTCTATCTACCGCCGAGCCACCTCCTAGTGACCAAGAACTTGATATTGGGTGACCCAATTTCGAAACCCGGCGTGCTTTACTTAGTCGGTATTATCACGATATACTACCGAGGATGTTTAGCCCTCGATGTGAACGATGTGGATAGAACAGAGAGTTACAGCAAATGTCTCACTACTCCCCGGCGGAATTGAACCCGGTTACTTGATTGTTGAAAAGCGTCTCGATCATTGTAGTAACGCAGAGCAGCGGATGAAGCTACAACCACTAATATCACTCACCCGAGGGACGCTGCCTTGGTGTGTTTTTGAAAACCGGAGAAACGTTGTATGAATGTGGAGTCAGCCACAGTGATTGCAGACTCGGAGCCACTTATTCTACCCTGTAGGACATGAGTCATGTGTGAAACGATATTGAAATCAGTCTTGATGAGTAGAGCTAACAACAATGTGTCTCCGCCGAGGGGCGGTAATCATGGTATACGATTCCGGATCTGAGTGAGACGATGTAATAGCGATAAGTCATTACAAAAACTTTTCTCCCGGGCGCAAATTTGGGGAACCCGGATCTGACCCGCACCTGATTACTAACAGCTACGGACTCGCTACTGTGAAGAACTATGATTTGACGGTGAGCCGAGCATAGGCCGTGTGGTGTACTAGATGTGAACGATTTATAGCGAAAGTTGAAAATTTCTCCCCGGCCGGGAATTGAACCCGGGTCTCGCATGTGACAGACGCGGATACTCACCACTATACTACCGAGGACTGCCTGTGAAGAACTGATAAGGATGCCCACCATGAGCGACGGTGAATGCACTGTGTGTGAAACGATTTATAGCGAGAGTACAAATCTGTCGTCCCCGGTCACGGGAATTGAACACGGCGTCTCGCATCGTGACAGACCGTGATAGCCACCACTATGACTACGAGACGCCCTGTGAAAGAACTTCGATAGTGCCACATAGGCGCAAGGTTACTGAATGTGAACGATTTATTAGCGAGAGTGACAATATTGCGTTGTGTTTCCCCGGCCCGCGGAATTGAAACAGGGGTCTCCACCTGAATGACCAGACGCGGGATATGCGGACCACTATATCTACCGAAGACTGCCTGTGAAGATACTTGATAGATGGGCCACGGATCGCGAAGGTCGTACTGATCGTGAACGATTTATAGCGGAAAGTTGAAAAATTTCGCCGCCGGCCGGGAATTGAAGCCGGGTCTAGACGCGCGATACTCGACCACGGACGGCCGGATACAATACCGAGGGAACTGCCCTGTGAGAACTGGATTAGTGCCACACGGCGGAGGTGTAATCTGAGTGTGAGACTATTAGCAGAGAGTACAAAAATTTCTCCCCGGGCGGCGACCTTAGACCCGGGTCTGACCGGCGGATACTCCCTCACTTTACTCCGAAGGACTGTCTGTGAAGAACGGGGATATGCACATCGGCGAGGTGTACTGATGTGAACGATTTATAGCGAAAGTTGAAAATTTCTCCCCGGCCGGGAATTGAACCCGGGTCTGACGCGGGATACTCACCACTATACTACCGAGGACTGCCTGTGAAGAACTTGATAGTGCCACATGGCGAGGTGTACTGATGTGAACGATTTATAGCGAAAGTTGAAAATTTCTCCCCGGCTCTGATAGATCCCTGGGTTCTGAGCGGATACTCACCACTGATATCCGTTGTGTCTGGCGTCAACCGAGGGACTGCCTTGAAAGAACTTCGATAGTGCACCATGGCGAGGCGTGTAACTTGATTTATAGACCGATTTATAGCGAAGTACAAAATCCTCCCCTGTCTTGTGATGAACCGAGCCGTACTCGCATGGCTGACAGACTGCGGATACGTCACCACTTATACCTACCGAGGATGGCTGTGAAGAACTTATCAGGTGGCCACAGCGAGGGGTGTACTGATGTTTGTCTATCTTTATTGATCGAAGTACAACAATTTCTCCCGGGCAGGAAATTGAACCCGGATCTGACGGGCGGATACTCGACCACTATACTACCGGAGGGTTACTGTCGGTGAAAGAAACTTTTATGTTATCGTGGTGCCACATTTGCGAGGGGTGTTGTAGCTGTATGTGGTGTGTTAGTCTGTTATTTATACGAATTGAGTTGTGAAAACTTTCTCCCCGGCCGATAAATTGAACCCGGGTCTGCAATGTGACAGGACGCGGGATACGTCACACTATAACTACCGAAGGACTGCCTGAGTGCTGTGTGTGAGTTGACTCTGATAGATGACCACTATGCGCGAGGTGCACTGATTGTGAACGGATTTACTAGCGAGGAGATACAAAATTTACTCCCGCGCCGGGGAATTGAACACCGGTTCGCATGTGACAGACGCGGATAACACACTTATAACTACCGAGAACTGAGGCGCCGCCCGCGGCTGGCGCGACGGAAATCTGGTGGAAAGCAACGTGTAGATGAGTGCCACACAGGCGGACGGGTGTACTTGATGTGAAGCGCCACTTTATAGCGGAGAGTTTACACTGAAATAATTCTCCCGGCGGGAATTAGAATACACGGGTCTTCCGCATAGGGCACACCCGACGGCGATATAACCTTCACCACTTATACTACGGTGTTTCCTGTGAACGAACTATCAGTGCCAACATGGCGAGTTATACTGATGTGAACGATTTTATAGCAAACGCTTGAAAATTTACATCCCGGCGATAATTGAACCGGCCGGGGTCCGATGCTGACGACGCGGATACTCACCACTATACTACCGAGGACTGCCTGTGAAGAACTTGATAGTGCCACATGGCGAGGTGTACTGATGTGAACGATTTATAGCGAGAGTACAAAATTTCTCCCCGGCCGGGAATTTGAACACCGCGGCTCCGCACTTGTGACAGACGGCGTGATCTGAGGCCCACATACTACCGAGGACTGTCTGTGAAGAACTTGATAGTGCCACATGGCGAGGTGTACTGATGTGAACGATTTATAGCGAGAGTACAAAATTTCTCCCCGGCCGGGAATTGAACCCGGGTCTCGCATGTGACAGACGCGGATACTCACCACTACCGAGGACTGCCTGTGAAGAACTTGATAGTGCCACATGGCGAGGTGTACTGATGTGAACGATTTATAGCGAGAGTACAAAATTTCTCCCCGGCCGGGAATTGAACCCGGGTCTCGCATGTGACAGACGCGGATACTCACCACTATACTACCGAGGACTGTCTGTGAAGAACTTGATAGTGCCACATGGCGAGGTGTACTGATGTGAACGATTTATAGCGAGAGTACAAAATTTCTCCCCGGCCGGGAATTGAACCCGGGTCTGACGCGGATACTCACCACTATACTACCGAGATTTGAAGTGATGATCTGTGAAATGATAGTGCCACATTGGCGAGTGTTTACTGATGCGTGACGATTTATAGCGAGAGTACAAAATTTCTCCCCGGCCGGGAATTGAACCCGGGTCTGACGCGGATACTCACCACTATACTACCGAGGACTGCCTGTGAAGAACTTGATAGTGCCACATGGCGAGGTGTACTGATGTGAACGATTTATAGCGAGAGTACAAAATTTCTCCCCGGCCGGGAATTGAACCCGGGTCTCGCATGTGACAGACGCGGATACTCACCACTATACTACCGAGGACTGTCTGTGAAGAACTTGATAGTGCCACATGGCGGTATATGTGAACGATTATTAGCGAGAGTACAAAATTTCTCCCCGGCCGGGAATTGAACCCGGGTCTCGCATGTGACAGACGCGGATACTCACCACTATACTACCGAGGACTGCCTGTGAAGAACTTGATAGTGCCACATGGCGAGGTGTACTGATGTGAACGATTTATAGCGAGAGTACAAAATTTCTCCCCGGCCGGGAATTGAACCCGGGTCTGACGCGGATACTCACCACTATACTACCGAGGACTGTCTGTGAAGAACTTGATAGTGCCACATGGCGAGGTGTACTGATGTGAACGATTTATAGCGAGAGTACAAAATTTCTCCCCGGCCGGGAATTGAACCCGGGTCTGACGCGGATACTCACCACTTATACTACCGAGACTGTCTGTGAGACTTGGATAGTGCCACATGCGACTGGTTACTGATGGTGAAGATTATTTAGCGAAGAGTACAAAATTTTCTCCCGGGCGGGAATTGAAACCGGGTCTGACGGTGTATACACACTATACTACGAGAATTGCTGCCGCTGTGAAGAACTTGATAGTGCCACATGGCGAGGTGTACTGATGTGAACGATTTATAGCGAGAGTACAAAATTTCTCCCCGGCCGGGAATTGAACCCGGGTCTCGCATGTGACAGACGCGGATACTCACCACTATACTACCGAGGACTGTCTGTGAAGAACTTGAAGGGTATCGTGCATGGCGAGGTGTACTGATGTGAACGATTTATAGCGAAAGTTGAAAATTTCTCCCCGGCCGGGAATTGAACCCGGGTCTGACGCGGATACTCACCACTATCTTCTAGGACTGTCTGTGAAGAACGTGATATGCCACATCGGCGGTGTCTGATTAAGAACGATTTTATAGCGAAAGTTGAAAAAATTTCGCCGGCGGGAATTTTGAACCCGGATCTGACGCGGGTACTCACCACTATACTACCGAGGACTGCCTGTGAAGAACTTGATAGTGCCACACGGCGAGGTGTACTGATGTGAACGATTTATAGCGAGAGTACAAAATTTCTCCCCGGCCGGGAATTGAACCGGGTCTCGCATACTCCCACTTACCTTACGAGCTAGCTGTGAGAATATGATTATTCGGACATGGCGAGGTGTACTGATGTGAACGATTTATAGCGAGAGTACAAAATTTCCTCCCCGGCCGGGAATTGAACCCGGGTCTCGCATGTGACAGACGCGGATACCTCACATGATACTACGAGGACCTGCCTGTTGAAGAACTTGATAGTGCCACATGGCGAGGTGTACTGATGTGAACGATTTATAGCGAGAGTACAAAATTTCTCCCCGGCCGGGAATTGAACCCGGGTCTCGCATGTGACAGACGCGGATACTCACCACTATACTACCGAGGACTGCCTGTGAAGAACTTGATAGTGCCACATGGCGAGGTGTACTGATGTGAACGATTTATAGCGAGAGTACAAAATTTCTCCCCGGCCGGGAATTGAACCCGGGTCTCGCATGTGACAGACGCGGATACTCACCACTATACTACCGAGGACTGCCTGTGAAGAACTTGATAGTGCCACATGGCGAGGTGTACTGATGTGAACGATTTATAGCGAGAGTACAAAATTTCTCCCCGGCCGGGAATTGAACCCGGGTCTCGCATGTGACAGACGCGGATACTCACCACTATACTACCGAGGACTGCCTGTGAAGAACTTGATAGTGCCACATGGCGAGGTGTACTGATGTGAACGATTTATAGCGAGAGTACAAAATTTCTCCCGGCCGGGAATTGAACCCGGGTTCGCATGTGACAGACGCGGATACTCACCACTATACTACCGAGGACTGCCTGTGAAGAACTTGATAGTGCCACATGGCGAGGTGTACTGATGTGAACGATTTATAGCGAGAGTACAAAATTTCTCCCCGGCCGGGAATTGAACCCGGGTCTCGCATGTGACAGACGCGGATACTCACCACTATACTACCGAGGACTGCCTGTGAAGAACTTGATAGTGCCACATGGAGAGGTGTACTGATGTGAACGATTTATAGCGAGAGTACAAAATTTCTCCCCGGCCGGGAATTGAACCCGGGTCTCGCATGTGACAGACGCGGATACTCACCACTATACTACCGAGGACTGCCTGTGAAGAACTTGATAGTGCCACATGGCGAGGTGTACTGATGTGAACGATTTATAGCGAGAGTACAAAATTTCTCCCCGGCCGGGAATTGAACCCGGGTCTCGCATGTGACAGACGCGGATACTCACCACTATACTACCGAGGACTGCCTGTGATAGAACATTGAATAGTGCAACACATGGCGAGAGTGTACTTGATACTGTGAAACGTATTGATAGCGAAAGTGTAGAAATTTCATCCCCGGCCGGGAATTGAACCGAGGTCTCGCCATGTGACAGACGCGGACGATATCACAACTATACTTACCGTAGGCACTGCCTGGAAAACCTAAAGAATAGTGCACATGGGGTGATACTGATGATGAACGAATTTATAGCGAGAAGTTACAAAATTATCCTCCACGGCCGGGAATGAAACGGAGTGTCTGAGCGGGATAACTCCCACTATACTACGAGAAACTGCCTGTGAAGGACTTGATAGTGCCACAATGGGCGAGAGGGGTAGACTGATAGGTGGAACATTGATTAGCGAAAGTTGAAATTTGCTCCCTGGCCGAATTAATGAACCCGGGTCTGACGCGGATACTCACCACTATACTACCGAGGACTGCCTGTGAAGAACTTGATAGTGCCACACGGCGAGGTGTACTGATGTGAACGAATTTAATAGCGAGAGTTGAAAAATTTCTCCCGGCCGGGAATTGAACCTGGGTCCGCATCGTGACAGAGCGAGTAATCCAAATAAATATACCGAGGACTGCCTGTGAAGAACTTGATAGTGCCACATGGCGAGGTGTACTGATGTGAACGATTTATAGCGAGAGTACAAAATTTCTCCCCGGCCGGGAATTGAACCCGGGTCTGACGCGGATACTCACCACTATACTACCGAGGACTGCCTGTGAAGAACTTGATAGTGCCACATGGCGAGGTGTACTGATGTGAACGATTTATAGCGAGAGTACAAAATTTCTCCCCGGCCGGGAATTGAACCCGGGTCTGACGCGATCTCCACTATACTACCGAGGACTGTCTGTGAAGAACTTGATAGTGCCACATGGCGAGGTGTACTGATGTGAACGATTTATAGCGAGAGTACAAAATTTCTCCCGGCCGGGAATTGAACCCGGGTCTCGCATGTGACAGACGCGGAATAACTACACACATATATACGACGAGGACTGCCTGGGAGAACATTGGATAGTGCCACCGGCGAGGGTACTGATGTGAACGATTTATAGCGAAAGTTGAAAATTTCTCCCCGGCCGGGAATTGAACCCGGGTCTCGCATGTGACAGACGCGGATACTCACCACTATACTACCGAGGACTGCTGTGAGAACTTAGATTAGTGCCACATGAGCGAGGTGTACTGAAATGTGAACGATTATATAAGCGCAGAGTTTACAAAATTTTCTCCCCGGCGGGAATAACCCGGGTCTGACGCGGATAAATCACACACTATATCTACCAAGGGCTGCCCTGTAAGAACTATATTGTGCAATGGCGAGGGTGTGTGATGTGAACGATTTATAAGTCGAGAGTACAAAATTTTCCCGCGGGAATTGAACCCGGGTCTCGCATGTGACAGACGCGGATACTCACCACTATACTACCGAGGACTGCCTGTGAAGAACTTGATAGTGCCACATGGCGAGGCTGTATTGATGTGACGATTTATAGCGAGAGTACAAATTTCTCCCCGAGCCGGGAATTGAACCCGGTGTCTCGCACTGTGTGACAGACGCGGATACTCACCACTATACTACCGAGGACTGTCTGTGAAGAACTTGATAGTGCCACATGGCGAGGTGTACTGAAGTGAGCGATTTATAGCATGTGACAGGGACACATGCGCTGCCTCTGATATCTCGTACGTCAGTTTCCTGTAATCTCAACTACATTCTTGCGAAGGAAACCGTATTCAGGGAGGATCTGTGTCTTGCCTAAACCCTGAACACAGTCATTGATGCACCTATGAAATCCGTAGGTCTTTCGAAGATCCCTGTAATTTTACACGTTTTCCCTGAGTACAGAGCTTACTGGTATTGCGTTGAAATTAGCGCGATGTCGAACATATCAGGAGAATTCTCCGCGAAGGCATTTCAGCGACACATTTAATAAATGTTCCACCTACCAATCCTAGTGAGGCACAACATTACTAACTAAAGTTACAACTTACTATGGCCGAGGTTGCAAGAAGAGCGAAGCTGGGAAATTCAAGCGACAGCGTTATTGTTAGGGGGAGCAATATTGTTGGAATAATGGGATATCTCTTTGTTTCTACCTCCACTCAGTTTATACCTTCAGTCTAGTGGCGTATGTTCTCTCTTTATGTTCACGGAAGACGCTGTAAAATTGACTTCCTTTATTGCCTAGGGTCTATGGCGTTGCATCATAGCTATCAGGTGAAAGTTGAAATTAACCGTGATTTCTTGTAGAAGAAATTCTCCGTTGATTCGGCTAATTTTATTGTTTCTTCCCAAAGAGTTCTTGTCCAATCATAAGAGGAAAGGGTGCCATGCAGCCGATCTCAGTCAAATTTGCTCCCAGCAGCAGAGCGAACAGAGCGCCCTTTTTCAGTGTGTGTTGTCTGTTTGTTTGCTTCACTATGTGGGTGTCAGGCGTGCTATTAGGTTGTCCGGAAAGTTCTCAGCGTTTTGGGTGTTTCACTTTAAACGATCGTAACTTTTTTAATACTCATCGGATTTAATCGAAATAGGCACCATTCGAATCAGCACACTTTTGCCAATGTGACAGCAGTCGAGAAATCCCATCAAAGTAAAAAACTGGGTGGTCGAAAATTCACGAAATCCACGAAGGCTTTTTTGCCTGGTCCTGATTGATGAAGTATTTTCCAGCAAGGGAGTTCTGAAAATGTTAGAAAAGGTGATAGTCGGTTGGCGAAAGGTCTGAAGAATATGGCGGTTGAGGTAGAACTTCAACCCCCAATTCGTTCAATTTATGGATAGTGATTTGTGAAACGTGTGGGCGGTTGTCATGCAAAGGAATCGGACCCTTTCTTTTGATAAGTGTTGGCTGCATCTGACAAAATTTTCGGTACAATTCGTCGATTTCTTCTTCTGCTGTGATGGTTTGGCCTGGTGATAAAAAGTTATAGTGGATCACACCAGCCGATGACCACCAAGCCGTGACCAGAATCTTTTTTCGTGAGGGTTCGGCTTTGAAAATTACCTCGGTGGTTCGTCGAAATCCAACCACTGTCCGGAACGTCTCCTGTTATCATACATGACCCATTTTTCATCACAGGTGACAATTCGGCCCAAAAACAGGTCGTTTCTGCTGCGCAAAAGCAATGCAGAAGGAACCTCGAGACGTGCCGATTCCTGGGGAACGGTTAGGACTCCACGAGAGGTCAGCCTGCCGCCGCCGCGGAGGTGCTCTCCGCGATGCTTTCGCTATGTATTTTTTGCATTTGCATAGTTCATGAGATTTCCAACCGTCTGCTTTATACTTGCAGGTGTGAAGGCTATGAAAGGAATGGGCCCGATATTCAACTACTAGTATAAAACAACGCCCATTAACATAGAAATAATATTTAGAGAATACATCAGCAATCTACGAAAATTCTTTTCAGGGTGAATCCTTCTTTTGGCCTCAATTGTAAGATATTGTAAGGTTTAAGATTCTCGGCCAGACGGTAAAAGTAGGTCCTATTGAAGAAATACAGCAACCCGTCGAATAAGTACAGCTGCCATTCAAAAATACTGTCGTCCCATTGAATATTCTGGTTTGGAAAAATCCCAAGCAGATTCGCGTGATGCCAGAACTATGTGAAGGGACCGGGATCTTAATCGCACGACCATGTTGCTCTCGTAAAATCAGTTGCAATCGCCGCGCGCGGCGAGGCGAGACATCTCTTCTGCTATCTCTCGAACTGTTTGGGATGGGTCAGCCTCCAAAATCCCCCTAAAATCCTCGTCAGATATTGCTTTAGGTCGACCGCTATGAGGTTCATCTTCAAGGCTGAAATCTCCAGAACGAAATTTGTTGAGCCATTGCCGCACAGTGCTCTAGCACTATTGGGCCCCCACACCTGGTTAATTTGTTGAGCTGTTTCGATTGCGGATTGCCCCAATTTATAGTCGAAGAAAAAATCGTCCGAAGTGCTCTTTCACATGCTTGAAAAAATCTTGAAAAAAGGGGGTTTATCAAGCAATGGTGAAACGGCAATTATACCATCAGATAGCGCAAGAAATTCTCTACAGGATGTGCTACTGAGAAGCAAGGCAGAATGAGTTTTTAATCAGCAGTGAATGTACAAAAAATAGGTGCACAAAACGCTGAGAACTTTCCGGACAACCTAATAGTTCTCATTCTCGTTCATGTCTTTGCAGGTAGTCAGTGGCAGACCTCGTCGCACGATCTCAAGCGGGAGTAGGCCGTATTTGGTCGCTGGGAGACGGAATGGCTCGTATTTAGTTTGTGAAAAATTTTTTTGAAAGTTGATTTCTCTTTATTCACGGACGCTAGAATGCTAAGAAAAATTTGCGGCTCTGGGAAAAATTTTTCCGTTCCGTCCCGTTCCGTTGGTGCTGAAATTTCCCCCCTCCACTCGACAGCAAAGTTTTGAGGGAAAGAAACAGAAAATTCTAAGGAATTTCCGAGAAAGGTGGCACATAGTTTGAAAAATCCAGGAAATTAGTAGGGAGGACAAGAGAGATCAAAGGAGGCAATCAGGGGGTGGTGGTATTTTCTGAAAATTTGCCCCAGACGCAGAAGTGCCCTGGTCAGTAGTCGCCTCTATTCTAACTGCAATCTACTAGTGATTTGTGTAAATTAGAACCACTACCTATGAGCGAGCTGAGGGATTGTACTTCAACGGATGCTCATTCCCATAAAATGGACTTAATGTTAACTTGTTTGACTTCTACCCACTTCCCTCCCCTTTAATCCTATGAGCAGGATTCCTGCGGATTAAAAAGGAATTATTCGATATACACCTGTGAATTTATGAAGGCACAACTCTAGATTCTCACAAGTATTGAAAAGCTTCACTGGCTTTGGGACCACAGACCAAATTCCGAAATAAAAAGAAGTAGGAACGAAGTGTGTTATAGTCGGAATAACATACCACATATAATCCGATTCCCTATTTAAGGTGGTGGCTGCCGCTATTTTGGTGATATCTTTTCTTCTCGGTACAACTGCATACATGTCATTGTCCACAATGTGTTAGGATGGTAGACGTCTCTAATGGGAATAACACGTGAAAAGTACCTACTCCAGGTACAAATGACCTATGGAGCCCTCCTGCTCAAAAAATTTTTGTAGCCAACATGTCTTCAATCCCGCAGTCTGAGTCCGAGCCACCGCGACAGCCCTGCTCATTTTCACCGTCGAACGTGCGGGGTGAACAGGAAGGCAGAGACGTTCAAACTTCTCAGGCACCACATCGCGGTCGCGTGCCAGAATCTCTCGATGGCGCTCGTCCAGAAGGCTGTGGCGGAGTGTCATGATAGTATTTAATATGCTCTTTAATATGGTGGTAGAAATGTCCGATCAGAATTTAATAAAGTGTAACTTATAGCGCCTCGAAAGTCAATGAAGAAAGTGACTTTTTTTGGCCCCCCTGTACAATGACTTGCGGTGGCCTGCCGATGTACAAGTCAGTGTTTTATCCTCCCAGACGAATCTGGCACCATCTTACCGTAGAAGGCTTGGTTGGCCTGGGCGAGAGTAGACTCGGGATTTGAACCCGGCATCGCGCGAGTGGTAAGCGCGCCACTTGTCACTACACCACCTCCGCGCCAATGAATATCCATCATGAACTAATAAACAGATGAAAGTACACTTCCGCACCTTTCTATTGCAGAAGCACACCTACTTGCACGGAGGAAGCCCTTTCTAGAAGTTGCACCTTCCCAATAGCTCTCAAAGCCCTATGCATTGCAGAAGTGATGCCAATTGGTGCCCAATGAACTATTTCCTGATATCCTTGGCGAAAACATGCGTTTTAGAAGCATATACAAGTCTTTAAACCAACCCGAGGTTTCATGGCGTCGGAGGGGTTGATTTTTGGGGCAGTGATCTTTCTGTGATCACAACGGGGGATTTTTTCGAATAGCAGGCCTAGGGATAAAATGAAAGTTTTGCTGGAAAGTAGAAAGCTTCATGCTTCCGGCACAGTTCTTTTTACGAAAGGCCGTGTATGAAGCTTGCCATGGATGTCCAAAGCGTAGCGACTTGTGGTTGGCCCCCATGATCACAAGAGGATCACAACGGAGAAAATTTCTAGAAAAGAAATGTTTTTGAAATCGCTCAAACTCAGGTAACAAGAGCCAACCTAGCTCCACTCATTCCCACTTTCCCCTCTCCGAGAGCTTTACTTTCAACGAAGTTATGGGTGTTCAAAAGAGGGGTACGAGTGTTTGGCTTGAAATTGGCTCCAGGTCGTAAAATAGCGCGCTCCAATACGCTTGTATTAGCGCGCTAATACAGCAAGACCGCGAACAATTAATATTCAAAAGCTAACCCATAATTCTTCCTAGTACTTCTGGTGAGTTTTTTGTCGTTTGTTTGGTATTTTAGGTTTTTTTTGTTTTTTAGTAGTTTTCTAGGATGTATTGTTGTAGTGTTTACACTATCGAACTATTCCTACCCCAGTCTGCCGAAATCAGGCCGATTTTTTATCGATTTTTTTCTAGAGGGCAGATTTGGATGGAAATACTGTTACAGTGGTACTTCGACCTCCTGAACACGAATATCACACTCGCGCTGGCGTCAAGAATGCTATCATATTCGTAAACAGGAT